TATTATATTATATTTTTAAAAATTAATTAATTAAATAAAAATAATATCATTTCTTTTCCTTTACTTTTAATTGTCTAAATAAATTTAATATTAATCATTTTCTTTTACTTCCTCCCTCTCTTTTAAGTAATTTTTTATCCAAACATGGCCTAAGCAGAAATGCTCAAAAAATTCAAAGGATTTAAGCCAAGATTATTTTCCGCGGAAGCTTTGAATTTGAAGCCGCAAACAGAATGCGAAGTCGGTAGCGAAAGAGCGGCCGCAGCCATGGAGGAAACCTTCTCAAGGATCATCTCCGACTTCCTGGAAATTCATCAAAACTCGAATACCCACAGCCATTCTGCACTAATTTCCCGCTCGACTCTCGTAGATCTTCAATTCCTCTTCTCCACTGGCGATCCGGAACTCCAAAGCCAATTCTACGACCACCTCGCCTCCAAGAACCTCTCCCTGTCTTCCATTACTCACCTCTTGGCTTCAACGATGGATTCAGCTCCTACCTATGTGGCGCTATTAGCTTCCGAGGTTTACCTCTCTTTGCTCCTCTCACCGAACTCCCCCGTTTTCACTCTCACTCCGGTGGCGTTTCCCCCCTTCCTGCACTCCATTCGTCGTTCCCTCAAGCACCGTCCTCCAGCCCCACCTGATGAGTCTTCTCCTAGCCCGCAGGCCCCTAACATTAGCTAGGAAGGGGAAGAGTGGGGGGCGAGGCAGGGAGAAGAAGAGTATTTCGAAGAATTTTGGAAGTTATGATTAAGAGGAAGGTGAAGAGAGTGGCGCTTGTGATGTGAGAGAAATAAATTGTGTGATGGAAATGTTGTTTCCTTTCTGGGTTTGATTCATTTGGATAAGTTTCCTGGTAGTCTGGAGTCTCTTATACAAACGGTGGGTGAAATTCCTGTGATGGCACTCGAAACATGCAGTAATTCTTGTAGTTTGAACAGGTTAATGGAGTTGCGTTCTCTTGTATTTAGTGGAGTCTTAAGGACGGAGCATGGGCAGGAAGTAGGTACTGGACTGCAACTGGAATTTTGAAAGTGCCACATCGCCATTGATGCTTATGGTTAAATCGCAGGCTAGAAGTTTTGCCTTGGGTTTTGTAGTGAATAGGATGATGGTAAATGGTAATGAAGGAGAATCATGGAGTGAAGAAAGCATTGGTGAATCTTCCAATGCACTTGACTAAAAAGGCGCCTGAGAAGGCTGAGCGTCGGACCTTGGCTGCAGGGTCGATAATGGAGATAGTTAGAGTGATGGAGTTTGATGAGCAAGTAGTTTTTGTTGAGTATATTGTGAAGATGACTGAAGGGAAGGCTAGTCTCAGGCTGTTAGCTGTTGATCTTATTGCAACTCAGATGACTTCAATGGATGATCTGCTGGGTATGGATAAGGGTGGTGAAAGTAGGAGGCTCTCAGGGATTAAGGTGTTTAGAGGCTTTGGTTAAGCAATGATGGGACTCAAATGCTGAAATTCGTGCTCGAGCCTTATCAAACTTAGCACAAGTAATGGAGTTTTTGTCCGGTGATCACAGGAATAAGGGCAGTTTTGAAGGAAGCATTAATTGGATTAG